TTTTTTTTTTATCCAAACTAATACGATACTAAAATAAATAAGATTATTATTAAAAAAAACAGTATTCTAAAAAGAAATTCTGAATTCTTACATGCTGTATCATCAAAATATTAATAATATATTTATCACCATATTTAAGTTTATAATAATCATCTTAAATATTTAATATACTATTAGACTTAGTTTTAAGTTTTTAGTATTGTCAGTTAATAATCATATAGGAGATGCAGAATTTAATATTTATGAATAATAAACAAGTGTAAGGTATCTAATTCTAAATTGAAATAAACAAAGTCATTGATTGAATAAATATTCTTTCATAATAAAGATGAAATTCATAAAATAAGTTCAATAAAAACTATTAATTATGAGACCAATAAATTTATTGATTAAATAATAGTATAGAATTCGCTACTAGAAGAGATAATCTTTAAATAATGAGAAAAAAAATAAAAATTCCATTCTGTGAAAAAAAACATACTCTATAGGAGAAATAATACCTCTCATTTAGTATGTAGATTATATGTTAGACTTAAATTTTACATTGAGATTAAGAAATCTAAGGATTTATTAATTATTTTAGGCAAAGCAAATATTATGAAAATATTTCATATCATAATCCACTAAATTAAAGCTAAACTAAGCAAATGACTTTTTATTTCCTTTTCTATCTCATAAGAATTGGTGTTATTTTGGCAAATCAATTGATCATCATTCCAAAAACATTCCTTCATCTCTTAACATTATGATTCATCTGAAAATTTTTCACATAATGCTTGACATTTCTGTTATTCACTCTTCCAAGTACATCTATTAATTTTCTTACATTGATCTTCTTTATATATATATTAACATTAATTTTGACATTTCTAAATATAGAATAATAAAAGATACATGATCATAATATGAACATAAATTATCAGGACATTCTTCCTAATTTTTAAAAGACTCACAATTCTTAGACTTACAATTATTTTGTTTAATGTCATAATAACAATATTTAGATTATTAAATACATTCGCATTTATCTAAAATTTCTTCACATGATACACAAGTAGAATCACTTAACTCAACACAATATTCATTAACAAAACGTGAGCCAGAACAAAATATAGAATTATCGAGATGGCGACATCTGTTTTAAGTGCAAAATTAGTTATCATTCTATATAACCCAAAAGCATGTTCTTTTATTGTATTTCTAGCGATTACAATCAGATTCATTTTGAATTTAAGAGCATTCAACTTATTATTAACAAGTTCCTTCAATTATATTCCAATTACAATCATTTTAAATGCAATTTTCCTCAATATAATCAGGACATTATTTTGTTTTACAACTCTAATCAAATTTACAAAATTATGAATATTTAGAACAAAGTTCCTAACTAAAATTTTCACATGAAAATTATTCACAAAATCCTTTATTATTAATCATTTAACAAGGCCTACCATTAAATTAATATTAAGAGCATTCATAAGTAGAGTGAATTATATCTTCACATTTTGATGCTGATTAACATTATTCAGAATTGTTCCAGTAACAAGTAATTCCTAGAATTTTATTATTATCACATTTATCTGCTTTAAAATCTTAACATGTCTTTTATCTACATTTATGATTATATTAAATATCAATTTCACTACTTGAAGTATTATATTAAAAAATACAATAGCTTTACTCTTAGCAGCTATTAATATTTGTAATATTATTGCAATCATATTCGTCAATGTATAATTAACATTAGCAATTATTATCTAAATATGAGCAATGTTTCTAATTCTAGCATGCAATCATGCTTAAAGAATCATTTGAGCAAAGTTCATCATAAGCATATGAACATCCATAAACAATTTCATTATATTTACAAGAATCAATAGCATTCTTACAAATTAATTTATTAGCTATTGGAAAATCATCACATTTATAATTATTTCTATTTAATAATTAGCATTTTTAATCAAAAAAACACATTTCAATTTAAACGCATCCAATAATATTTAATCCCATCAATTCACAATTAGTTTCATTTTTATTAGGAACTTCACATTTCAATTTTTGTAAATTATAATAACAAGCACCTTCTTTAACCATTGAACAAACTTTAGAATTGACATTTTAAGGAATTTAATTACAGGAGAGATGAGGAATGTAATCTTCACAATGATAATTTTCATCATTTAAATTTTTAATCCAAATGCAAGGATACTTTTATATATTCAAACAAGCAAATTTATTCAATCCTTCTTAAGTACATCTTGCTTATTAAATATCGATAAAATTACAACCATCTTTTATAAATCCACATGGTTTATCTAGATTTATTTATGAACATAAATGAGAAGACCAATTTTATTATTCACATGAATCATCTTTTATATCAATAATGAGCTTCTTTTCTCTACATTTTCTTCTTGATAAATCCCAAATACAATTTTGCTATTTAATACTAAGACATCCATCTTTATTTAATCCTTCAGTCATACATGATATAGAATTTAAATCATTAACTTTTACGCATATTTTCATATTTTTATCGTATTTAACGATATCTCCATTTTTTACTAAACCACAAGAATTATAATTTATTAATAATAGTTTTGAAGTTTCATAAATGATTAATGGATCATCATCTAAAGTTTAACACTTTAAGTCTTTCCAAATACAAAATACACCTTCTTTAACAATTTTTAAACAAGAAGTATAACTAAGTTTTGAATCACAACCTATTTTATCATAATTCTCAAATTTTATACAAGTTCCGTAATATGCTTGTGATTCATTTTCATCGAGAGACTTTTAGACTTTAAATAATTTTAAATCCCAATAACAATCACTTATAGTTTATTATAAACATGAATTAATATTAATGTTATCTAAGCAATTATTTTAGCCTTCAACATTATTAAAAGACTGACATTCATTATTTTCATAAATACACATTTATCCTTATTTCAATATATTCATACAAGCTCTTTAACTTCCAAAATAAGCAGTTACATCTTCACAATTCATTTAAACTGAACTTATAATTGAAATTAACCCATCATTTATATCTTAATTTTCTAAATAAACACATTTCATTTAATCTTTGTCCCAAATACATGGCAAAATAATCATTCTGCTACATTATTAGGATGATTATAATTAATCACAAGAAGTTGGATTAATAGATTTGCAGTTATGGTTAACTGAATTATAAACACAGAAATTATCTTCAAATGCAATACAAACAAATTTGCTTGAATATTAAATATCATTACAATTTGCATTCTCTTTCGGTTCATAACTAAAACATTCATTATTCTACCAAGTACATTTATATAAATTTTAATTTAAACAATTTTAAATTGATCCTGCTTCTCGACAACATAAATTTTTATTTGAACTATTGCAATTATTGATTCCATAATTAGAATCATAACAATAATCAATAAATTAACAATTTAAGTTCTTATTTGTTAAATTTAGACAAGCTATTTCATTTATTCCTCTTTAACATATTAGATCTTCCATGTCAGATACAACTTAACATGATTAAGTTTTTAAATTATAAATACATGCTGCATCTTTAGGAAATTCACAAAAAGTATAGTGATTAATATTTGTAACTTTATCACATTCAATTTTACTAATTTCTATTAAATCGCGAGAAATACATTTGTCTTCTAAATATTAGCAATACTATCCTTCTAATTAAATATTGGTGCATCCTATTTTGTTAATTGCTTATTCACATACGATAATATCTGAAGTTAGGATCTTTAGACATTTATTATCTTTGAAGATACACCCTTCATTTTAAACTAATGTACACTAATATATATCAAAAGCATCTTCGCAAAATTATAATACTAATTTGTTAATTTTATAACATTGATCCTTAAAAATACAACTATTATCATAACTTAAAGCGCAAGCTAGCTTATTATATCCTTTCAATTCAGGATTTTTTTCTAAGCATTCTATTTTAAAAGAATTGGAAAAGTTCAGAGAAATGCTTTCACATCTATATTGAAGTGGATTAAATTAACAGGCAACATCCTAAGTTTAAGAGCAAATTGCCCCTGAATTTATATTTTTGATAGACTAACAAGGCATATTTTGAAAATCCTTTAAATCAACATTTATGCATTTGTTGTTTATATATTAACAGTATTAAAACGGGGTCTTAATACTAATGCAAGTATTTTTGTTTAAATTTTAATCGCATTTTAAATAGTTCAATTAAGCACTAGCTACTTCTATGCAAGATTCCTTCCAAAAAATTAAAACATCTTTAGTGAATGGCTAAGAGTTTTTAGAAAATATTTCCTAATTAAATTGTTCACACGTCTTTTTATTAAATGAATAAATGTTGGATAATTAATAGTTTTAAAATATGGAAAAATCAGTAATTTTATCCAGATTTTCTAAAGAAATATATTCTATGCACTTTTTTGATTTTTTATCAAAAAAGCAAGGAATGTCTTAGCTTTGAGAGCATGTATAAGGGTTAGTTTAAATTTAATTCTAACATTTAAAAATATCAACTGATTTATCAAGCTATTGACAACCCTTAATATCATCAAAGTAACAAAATTGACCTTTAGTAATAATAGCTAGGCATTTATTTTTATTTACTAGATTGACACATTTTTACAATCCAAATGAACTTTCACATAGCTTTTCATCCTCATTAAATTAGCAAAGCAATTCTTTTGAGCTAAAAATACATGCTTATCTATTTAATCCATAACATTATTTTTCAATTGAATTTTCATCTACTAATCCACACTATTTTGTTTTATTATCAAAAAAACATGGATTTTTTTTATCTGCAGCGCATATTTTAGGATTAACCTAAGAGTTACTAAATTATTATAGAGCACAATTAAAATCATCTGTTTCGCTAAATATTTAGCACTAATTATTTTAAAACTTACATAATATACCATTCACTTGAGTGCAGGCAAATTAATTTAATGTATTTAAGCAAAATTTAATATCTGAAGGGTTAATATACTAACAAAGATTTTCTTTGTATTCGCAAAAAGATTCTATTTGGTTCAAGCAAGTTTATTTATTGATTCCAGGTAATGTGCAATCTGTTAGCTTAATATTTAAATTTTAGACAACTAAACATCTTCCTTAAATTAAACTATAAATCAGACCTTTTTAGTCATCCTCCTTCCAATGATCAAAAGCATAACATGTTTATTCAGAATAAGGAGCAAATTTGAGGCCAATAATATCATTTATTGTATTAAATTTTAAATCCGAGCATTTTTCATCGTTGAATTTGCAAAAATTATTTTAATCTAAACAAGCTGCTTAATTTAAATATGGTTAACAACCTTCATTTACATTTATTGTAAAAATGCAATTATTATTTTTAAAAGCACATGAATTTTTAGTTTTTATGAGGCATGCTTTTAAATTTAATCCTAAAGTCTGACAATCATAAGATGTTGGTTCTAAAATTTCTCTACATTTATAGTTTTAACCCAATATACAACTTTTATCAGCATTAATTAATGTACAAGTTTACCCATTCATATGAGATACATTAGATTAATCTTATAAGAATTGGGTACAACTTATCTGTTTTTCAAGGAATTTAGTTTGATTACATGTTTGAGTTGTATCAGACCAAACACAAGGTTTATCCTATAAATTTAAGCATCCAAATTTATTTAAACCTTCACATTTTGATTGTAATAATTAAATTAAACATTTAATACCATCCCATAAGCATGATTCAACCATAGACAAGTTACAGGTTGATTTACTTTTAAGCAAATCACACCTTCCTTTAAAAGGATTATACTTTTCACAAATTTCTGTTTCTTAGTTAAACCAGCATAAATTTAATTATTCTTAAATACAAGCATCATAATTCAAATTAGAACAATCTATTTAATCTGTTTTTTAAATATTAGCTATTTTTATACAGCCATATTCATATTTCTATTAATTACATTTTGAAGACTAAAATTTCTGCCATTAGCATTAAATAGTTTTTGAAAAAGAAAGACAAGCTTATTTATTTAGATTTTCGCATTTATCAATATTCTAGGCTATAGGATTACATTTTTAAGTGAGTTTATCATATTTCATTCCTAAACCTGTACATCTTATACATGCTTATTAAGATACTATAAAACCTATCAATTCACTACATGTAGAATGAGTAGCATCTTCACATTTCGATGTAAATTTACATGCTTAATCAACAAGACCACAGACCTTTTATTTATTGTTTGTGACAAATTATGTGACTTCATAACATAAATAATATTTATTTGAACAATCCTAATTTAATTAAGGAACCCATTCTTTTTATTATTGGCAATATCCTAGAAACATATAATCACAACCACATTTTTCACATAATGATTTACTGAAGCTTTTATCACAAACACATGGAACTGGCTGAGTGCCAATACAATTTATTCCATCAAATCTACAATCATCTGATGCTATTGCACATAAAACTGGTTAAGCATCTTATTCATTAATTTAAGAACATAATGGAGAAGAGTATTAAGTGCTTATATTTTAACATGTTTACTAATCTTCCTAAACACTAATACATTTATCACCAGGTTATTTAATTAGTTATCCATTTTAACAAATTGCATTTTTGCTTTAACTTCTATAACAATTATTTGATATGCTACTACAATTTGGTATTTTATGTTCATTATCTTTCAATTATATACAGCCTCCTTAATTAATATCATAAAAGCAACCTTCTTTTTCTTTGTTTAATTCTAAACAAAGCGCTTCTGAAAAAGATTTATGACAAACTCTAACAAGATTTTTTATTAACCTACAATAAGATGTTAAAACTAAATTTTCTTATTAAATACAATCACTTGAAATAGTCTAACTATATGGAGGTTCAAATTGGGTGATGCAGGCACTTTTTTCAATATCAGATTGATCAAATAAAGTTATTTGAGCCTATGTATCTTCTTATTAAATTGAATTATCTTAATAATTGACAATTATTTGATAATTATCATCACTTAAACAAAATTATTATTGAAAATAAGAGCAAAATAAAATTTTGCATTTTTACTCTGGATTTAAAGTTGATGTAAAAGAATATTCATTTATTAAAAAAAAATCAATAGCAGTGCAATTGGGGGTTCGATTTTACCAAATATTTTTTATTGTAATTTTTGGTATTTCTCTTTTATAATTTGAATTTTCTAAAAAGACTTCATTAGGACAATTATCCTCTTCTTAAACATTTGTACAAGTAAGACTTTGTTATTAGATAGTCTTTTCATAGTTATCCAATAATTTATATAAGGTACAAGTATATGCAGACCAATAGCAATATTTTTCGAATCTGCATTATTAAAAATTTTCTTTTTCTTAAGAACATAATTTTTCTTCAAAAACTTAAGTTAAAGTTGAGCTGACAGATGCACATGCAATTTTGTTATGATGTTTTTTATTCTTGGAATAATCGGATAATTATGTGCAAGTCATAGTTTCTAGAACTTAAAATGGTAAACATTTAAGAGTGCTTTCATCAAAATAACATGAAACTGGTAAATTCATACAAACCTCAATATTAATCAAATTGGTAGTATTGCATTAAGATTATTCATCTTCAAATGGTTTGCATAATTTATTAGGTGGTTATTCGTTTATATCATAAAAGCAGTTGTGATTTCTTATTAAATATAAACAAGCATAATCATTCATTTAATATTAATCACAAGTAAATTCATTTTTATCATCCATCTTAATACATTTCTTTTTTTCTTTATCATAATAATATCCAGCTCCTGAAATCAATAAACAAGCTTTTTCATTGTAAAGATGATTTGCATTTTCATTTTCATTTAATTTCTCAAATTCTTAAGATGTTATCGAATCAAATTATAAGCATTAAAATAAGATATCATCCCACATGCATGCTTCCTTTTGTACTTATGAACAAAGAATCTTATTCAAATTATCTAAACAAATTAATTGCTCTATTTCAATGTCATTTTCATAACACTTTAAAGTAGAGGAATCCCATCTACATTCCCCACATGTGCTTTTATAACACACTCTATTATTAGCATTTGTCTTTGAAATATCGCAATTACAATTTTCACCTTCAAAGTTTGTTTTCGATTAGATACATATTTTCATTTCTTCAGAAAATTCACATAATTGACTAGACTTACTGAGAGACTTACATACTAAAGAATTTACTTATCCCCTAGTGCTAAAATAATCACAATCAACATTTAAAGGAGCTGGTAGACATTAATCATCTGAATATTAAAAAAAACAACTTGAATTTTTGTTCTCTAAGCAAATTTTGATATTGTAATTTGAATTACAAGTTAATATTTCACCAAATTCATCTTCTGTTATTTAAACACATTTAAGTTTATCTTAATTCCATTTACAATAATTATTGCCAGTATATCTAGTACATATATTTTTATTTCCGATTGCATCTTCGCATTTATCAAATGAAAATTCAGAATTAAATGTCAATTGTTAACATCTTTTAGCATCTTTATTGTAAATAAAGTATTTTTAATAATTGTGTATAGTTAACCTTGCTTCAATTGCTAAACAAGTAAATTCATTTACTATTGATGGGGGTTGAGTAAAAATCATTAAATCTTTAAATCGTGAAAAATCAACATTCATGCAAACTTCCCCATTATCATAACAATGTTAAGTAGTTGACCACTCAATCATATAACAAGAATTAACATTCATAGAAGAGCAAGGTAATTTTAAATCATTGTAAAATTATTTAACATTATTTTGATCAGATATATCAATAAATGCACTTGTTAATTCTTAGCATCTAAAATCATTAAAATAGCAATAAACTCCGACTTCTTTACTAGAAAATCTACTACAAGAATTAGCATTCATTCCAATTTAACTCTTATCAGTACAACATTTAGTTTTACAAAGTTGAGAAAATAATTAACATTTTTTGGTGACTTAATTAAAAGCACAGTACTCCGGATAATATAAACTAATTGCTGCACAAACATTTGGATTGACTATCGTGTCTTTCTCTGCATATTCTAAGCATTCTTAATTAAATTTAACAGTGGTTGAAATGCAAGAGTTTGTTCCATATGACCAAATGCAAAACTCTCCCTTTGTAATTATAGATGAGCAATCGATTTTTGTAAGAAAACTTGTATTGCATTTTTATATAGAATTATAATTAATTCTATTTTAATTTTATAACTAATTTGTCTAATTAGAATCATCAGTAATGATATCAATTTAATTCGCTTTTATGCATCTTATTTTATCAAAATAGCACTGAAGTTTCAATTATGAACAACCAATAGAATTCAATCCTTTTGTATCACAATTTGAATTTTTCTCAATATTATTAATACATCCTTTTAAGTGATCTAAATATCTACATGGTTCTTATTTAAATGAAGCTAAAGCACAAGCTTAATAATTGGAATATTATAAATGCTAACAAGGTATTGATGAAATATCACTTTTCTTAGAGAAATGAATGCATTAGTCTTAATACCATCTACATGGAGTAAATTCAGTATTAATAGATGCACATAATACTTTATTTATTCCTAGTGATGAATCTTTACATGTAATTGTGTTCAAGAATTTTATAATTGATTTATCATCCGAATCAACAAGTATTGATTTACATTACTATTTTGTTTTATCAAAATAACATCCAAGTTAATTACTTTCATAAATCTATGAACAAGCATATGAATTTGTATATCCTATGCTTTCACATTTATTTTATAAATATTCAATTTAAATATATTAGCATCCTTTATTTGTCCATTAACATGCTTATTTATTTTGAATACTTTGACAACCATTCTGATTAAGAAATGGAGTATCACAAAAATCATCAAATGAACTTGCAATACATAATTAAGTATTTTTATCGTATTTACACTTCACATCTGGTTTAGATATTGCCTAACATACATTTCCATTAACCTTCATTTCAGCATACTTTAATTTCAATGGGCAATCAATTTCTTAATTTATAAATAAGCCTTCACAATTATTTCCATTCCATAAACAATATTGAGAACTTTTTAATAAATTAATGCAAGCTGATTCATTCAAATCCATATCACATTAATATGTTAAAAGATCGCTTTATTTAAGTTCCTAACAGCTTCCTTTATAAAATGAGCAATTTTATGATTTTATCTTCAAACATGCTTTCTTAGATAATCCTGGTGTATTACATTTTAAGTTATTTATTTCATTTATTTCAATAGTTCTACATTTTTTCAATTCTTCATTATACTTACATAACTCTTATGAATGCTAACAAACTTACATGTTCACTTAATTTATAGTTTAACATTAATAATCTTATTCTTAAAATATTCTACAAGAGGATTCCACCCATTTACATAATAATTTTGTTTCATTATACGTTATTGCTGATAGACAAGCATTTTCATTCAATTTTAAATTGCATGAAGTAATTTAGTCAGGTTATATTGATTTACATTAATTATCTAAAAATATGCCTAATTTTGAATAAAAAAAAGTATTACAATATTAATCTTTAGTTGTTATAGCCAGACAGCCATTTTGATTTAAACCTGACTCTTAACATGTTAATTTAGATAATTAATCTAATCTTACTTCTACACATTTAAAATCTCCTTGAAATCCATCATTAATAACTATTTAAAAATTTATGCTTACATAAACCAGATTCAATTAATTAACAAGTGTAAGGTGTCACAGAGAAGCTGAATTATTGATAATTATGGCTATTATTTTTTATATCTTCTTGTATTGTTTTACATTTATTGTCCCAAAAACATTTCTATGTTGATAGATTCATACAAGCTAATTTGTTAAGTCTTTCATCACACCCTAATTTTTAGATTTCTGCATATTCAATGTATTAACATCTTTCGAAAAATACACCTAATTCTTGATAAATAATTTATACAATATATTTTCTCTCCTTAAAAATTGCTCATTTAATTGATGCATGCTTCCTTATTTAAATAAGGTGAGCAGCCTAAATTTTATTATTTAGTATCTAAACACCTTCTTAATTGAAGGTCATATTTACCTATCACTTAATTTAATGTAATTTACATTAGACATTTTCTGTATTTGTTATACATTTAATAGAAGAGTTTGGATAATAATTACATTTACCAGACGCATTTATTGTTGTTAAATAGCTAAATATGCAAAACAACACAAAAAGTTGATTATAAGGTAAGCTAATCATAATATAAAAATTTATTCTATTCAGAATATTTATCTGATATTCAATTTTTATAAATAATCAATCATCATACTTTTATTTAAAAAAATAAAATAATAAAGATAAAAAAAAAGCAAATAGTGTTAGAACAAAATTAACTTTAATTTTCTAATCTATATATAATTCACATAATACCAGAAATTTATCTATTCGTTTTGAAAATTAATATAAAAGCCAATAGTTTTTATTTTCTATTCATTGTTTTCATCCATTAAATGACTATAAAATTAATTTTAAGTTTAGCTTTATCCTATTTTTATGCATACTTTTCTATAAATTCTTCTCAAATTTAATTTAAAAGTAACCCTTTTTTTCTAATTAGAAGATAATCTTATTTTTCATGGTGCTTTAAGTATTCTTATCAATACTAAAAACAAAATCTATTCAAAAAAATAATTTATGGCATTATCATGAAATTGATTTTGATAAATTAATATTTGCTTTAAATTCAAAGTACCTGCATTTAAATTAGAGCAAATAAATTTAATACTATTGAAAAAGATTTTATTTAATTTAGAAAAACATAGTAAATTTCTTAGTCTCAAACAAGATCTATATAAAACAAGGCATTTCTGCTGTACTAAGAATCCTTATTATAGAATTTAATATAAATTGATTGAAAAAAATTATAAATAATGATATCTTTTATATTCATTGTTACAACTGAAAACCTTTTAATTTAACTAAAATCTTCTTGAAAACTTGAACACTTTTAAGGCTCAAATAAAGAAAAATATTTATAAACAGTTTTTAAGGATGAATTTTTAACAACAGTTTTATTTATCTTTTTAAGATTGCAAAGGAAGCATTTGAGTAATTATAAAAGTAATACAGAAAATTAAAAGCTTAATAATATTCTCTTTCGTTCTCAAAAATCAAGAAGAGACTGGCTCTAAATAATAATAACATGACAATTGATACTTCTTTAATATTTTGGGTTTTTGATATAAAGGATAATATCTCAAAATTATTTTTTTTATGGTTTAAATTTAGAGTTCAATTTCCTAAGTATAGCAGATCCTATTTAACTAAATAGAAAAAAAATTAAAATTCCATGGTTATTCTTAAAAAAAATCATACCCTATAGAAGAATTAATATATTTCCTTAAGTATGTAAATTATATGTTAGATTAAGAAATCTAAGGATTTATTAATTATTTTAGGCATAGCAAATATTATAAAAATATTTCATATCATAACCCACTAAATTAAAGCTAAACTAAGCAAATGACTTTTTATTTCCTTTTCTATCTCATAAGAATTGGTGTTATTTTGGCAAATCTATTGATCATCATTCCAAAAACATTCCTTCATCTCTTAACATTATGATTCATCTGAAAATTTTTCACATAATGCTTGACATTTCTGTTATTCACTCTTCCAAGTACATCTATTAATTTTCTTACATTGATCTTCTTTATATATATATTAACATTAATTTTGACATTTCTAAATATAGAATAATAAAAGATACATGATCATAATATGAACATAAATTATCAGGACATTCTTCCTAATTTTTAAAAGACTCACAATTCTTAGACTTACAATTATTTTGTTCAATGTCATAATAACAATATTTAGATTATTAAATACATTCGCATTTATCTAAAATTTCTTCACATGATACACAAGTAGAATCACTTAACTCAACACAATATTCATTAACAAAACGTGAGCCAGAACATAATATAGAATTATCGAGATGGCGACATGTGTTTTAAGTGCAAAATTAGTTATCATTCTATATAACCCAAAAGCATGTTCTTTTATTGTATTTCTAGCGATTACAATCAGATTCATTTTGAATTTAAGAGCATTCAACTTATTATTAACAAGTTCCTTCAATTATATTCCAATTACAATCATTTTAAATGCAATATTCCTCAATATAATCAGGACATTATTTTGTTTTACAACTCTAATCAAATTTACNATTGAAGGTCATATTTACCTATCACTTAATTTAATGTAATTTACATTAGACATTTTCTGTATTTGTTATACATTTAATAGAAGAGTTTGGATAATAATTACATTTACCAGACGCATTTATTGTTGTTAAATAGCTAAATATGCAAAACAACACAAAAAGTTGATTATAAGGTAAGCTAATCATAATATAAAAATTTATTCTATTCAGAATATTTATCTGATATTCAATTTTTATAAATAATCAATCATCATACTTTTATTTAAAAAAATAAAATAATAAAGATAAAAAAAAAGCAAATAGTGTTAGAACAAAATTAACTTTAATTTTCTAATCTATATATAATTCACATAATACCAGAAATTTATCTATTCGTTTTGAAAATTAATATAAAAGCCAATAGTTTTTATTTTCTATTCATTGTTTTCATCCATTAAATGACTATAAAATTAATTTTAAGTTTAGCTTTATCCTATTTTTATGCATACTTTTCTATAAATTCTTCTCAAATTTAATTTAAAAGTAACCCTTTTTTTCTAATTAGAAGATAATCTTATTTTTCATGGTGCTTTAAGTATTCTTATCAATACTAAAAACAAAATCTATTCAAAAAAATAATTTATGGCATTATCATGAAATTGATTTTGATAAATTAATATTTGCTTTAAATTCAAAGTACCTGCATTTAAATTAGAGCAAATAAATTTAATACTATTGAAAAAGATTTTATTTAATTTAGAAAAACATAGTAAATTTCTTAGTCTCAAACAAGATCTATATAAAACAAGGCATTTCTGCTGTACTAAGAATCCTTATTATAGAATTTAATATAAATTGATTGAAAAAAATTATAAATAATGATATCTTTTATATTCATTGTTACAACTGAAAACCTTTTAATTTAACTAAAATCTTCTTGAAAACTTGAACACTTTTAAGGCTCAAATAAAGAAAAATATTTATAAACAGTTTTTAAGGATGAATTTTTAACAACAGTTTTATTTATCTTTTTAAGATTGCAAAGGAAGCATTTGAGTAATTATAAAAGTAATACAGAAAATTAAAAGCTTAATAATATTCTCTTTCGTTCTCAAAAATCAAGAAGAGACTGGCTCTAAATAATAATAACATGACAATTGATACTTCTTTAATATTTTGGGTTTTTGATATAAAGGATAATATCTCAAAATTATTTTTTTTATGGTTTAAATTTAGAGTTCAATTTCCTAAGTATAGCAGATCCTATTTAACTAAATAGAAAAAAAATTAAAATTCCATGGTTATTCTTAAAAAAAATCATACCCTATAGAAGAATTAATATATTTCCTTAAGTATGTAAATTATATGTTAGATTAAGAAATCTAAGGATTTATTAATTATTTTAGGCATAGCAAATATTATAAAAATATTTCATATCATAACCCACTAAATTAAAGCTAAACTAAGCAAATGACTTTTTATTTCCTTTTCTATCTCATAAGAATTGGTGTTATTTTGGCAAATCTATTGATCATCATTCCAAAAACATTCCTTCATCTCTTAACATTATGATTCATCTGAAAATTTTTCACATAATGCTTGACATTTCTGTTATTCACTCTTCCAAGTACATCTATTAATTTTCTTACATTGATCTTCTTTATATATATATTAACATTAATTTTGACATTTCTAAATATAGAATAATAAAAGATACATGATCATAATATGAACATAAATTATCAGGACATTCTTCCTAATTTTTAAAAGACTCACAATTCTTAGACTTACAATTATTTTGTTCAATGTCATAATAACAATATTTAGATTATTAAATACATTCGCATTTATCTAAAATTTCTTCACATGATACACAAGTAGAATCACTTAACTCAACACAATATTCATTAACAAAACGTGAGCCAGAACATAATATAGAATTATCGAGATGGCGACATGTGTTTTAAGTGCAAAATTAGTTATCATTCTATATAACCCAAAAGCATGTTCTTTTATTGTATTTCTAGCGATTACAATCAGATTCATTTTGAATTTAAGAGCATTCAACTTATTATTAACAAGTTCCTTCAATTATATTCCAATTACAATCATTTTAAATGCAATATTCCTCAATATAATCAGGACATTATTTTGTTTTACAACTCTAATCAAATTTACAAAATTATGAATATTTAGAACAAAGTTCCTAACTAAAATATTCACATGAAAATTATTCACAAAATCCTTTATTATTAATCATTTAACAAGGCCTACCATTAAATTAATATTAAGAGCATTCATAAGTAGAGTGAATTATATCTTCACATTTTGATGCTGATTAACATTATTCAGAATTGTTCCAGTAACAAGTAATTCCTAGAATTTTATTATTATCACATTTATCTGCTTTAAAATCTTAACATGTCTTTTATCTACATTTATGATTATATTAAATATCAATTTCACTATTTGAAGGGTTATTTAAAAAAATACAATGGCTTTATTCTTAACATCTTTCAATATTAGTAATATAATTGCAATGATAATTATCAATGTATTATTTACATTAGCAATTATTATCTAAATATGAGCAATGTCTCTAATTCTAGCATGCAATCATGCTTAAAGAATCATTTGAGCAAAGTTCATCATAAGCATATGAACATCCATAAACAATTTCATTATATTTACAAGAATCAATAGCATTCTTACAAATTAATTTATTAGCTATTGGAAAATCATCACATTTATAATTATTTCTATTTAATAATTAGCATTTTTAATCAAAAAAACACATTTCAATTTAAACGCACCCAATAATATTTAATCCCATCAATTCACAATTAGTTTCATTTTTATTCGGAACTTCACATTACAATTTTTGTAAATTATAACAACAAGCACCTTCTTTAACCATTGAACAAACTTTAGAATTGACATTTTAAGGAATTTAATTACAGGAGAGATGAGGAATGTAATCTTCACAATGATAATTTTCATCATTTAAATTTTTAATCCAAATGCAAGGATACTTTTATATATTCAAACAAGCAAATTTATTCAATCCTTCTTAAGTACATCTTGCTTATTAAATATCGATAAAATTACAACCATCTTTTATAAATCCACATGGTTTATCTAGATTTATTTATGAACATAAATGAGAAGACCAATTTGATTATTCACATGAATCATCTTTTATATCAATAATGAGCTTCTTTTCTCTACATTTTCTTCTTGATAAATCCCAAATACAATTTTGCTATTTAATACTAAGACATCCATCTTTATTTAATCCTTCAGTCATACATGATATAGAATTTAAATCATTAACTTTTACGCATATTTTCATATTTGTATCGTATTTGACAATATCTCCATTATTTACTAAACCACAAGAATTATAATTGATTAATAATAGTTTTGAAGTCTCATAAATGATTAATGGATCATCATCTAAAGTTTAACACTTTAAGTCTTTCCAAATACAAAATACACCTTCTTTAACAATTTTTAAACAAGAAGTATAACTAAGTTTTGAATCACAACCTATTTTATCATAATTCTCAAATTTTATACAAGTTCCATAATA